GTAGAGAATACATTGTGACGTCACAATCTTAGTCCCACCCATTTATGAACGTCACATAGCTCCGGCTTCGCAACTTTGTTTATACAACGTTTACTGGCGATTTTCAAAAAATCGCCGCTACTGAAATCGCCAAGCAGTGGGCTAAAGCACATTTTCACCAAAAGTTCTATAATTCTATAACTGAATATGAACTGAAAATTCTTCTACCTATAGTATCGGCAAGGAGAAAAAAAGAACTGCTATTAACAACATTTCTGCTTTTCACAAAAAATGGAGAATTTGTCTTTTCACTACAAATTATAGATTTGCTAATCTTTACCAAAATTTCATAAAACTCCTTGCCAATGGTACTAGAAATTTCAAGAATACTTTTGATAATATTTTTACAAATCTGCTTAAAACTATTTTAATATAGTTTTTGAACAAGTTGTCAAAAACTTCTGCTGGATTATTTACGACAACTTGAAAATGGTTGAAGAAGTTAGAAATCTTAAAATTTTCAATATTTACTGCTATGACTTGGCAAACCTCTACACGTCTTTACCACTCAAAGAAATCTACGAAAGTACTTTAGAAATGACAAAATTTGTTTCCTGAAATACTTAATATTCTGAATTTACAAAAACGGAAAGAATTTCTACATTTTTCGCTACACAATAACTATTTTAAATATTCAAAATTTCTTTACCTGCAAACACAAGGAATTACAATGAGAAATTCACATTTAACTCATCTTTGTAATTTATTTCTATTTCCTAAATACCTAAAATGCCTTTCTGATAAAGATTTCAGTAAATTTGAACACACTTATCGATATATTGATGCCATTCTTACTTTCAGCAATTATAATCTCATAGAAAATTGCAAAATTTACCCAAGCTATCTAAAACTTAATAAGACCAATAAAAAACAAACAGAAGTAGTTTATATTGATCTAAGTATTCATAATCTTAAAGAAATTAAACTTTTTGATAAAAGAAAAGAATTTAATTTCTCTACTATTAATCTTATAAATTTCAACTCTAACATGTCTAAAAAAGTTATTGCAAATATTATTATTAACTAAATTACCCGAATTAAGAAAGTTTAATCTGAAATAGAAACACAAAAAGAAAAAATTCCAATTCCCACCAAATTTTTAAAGGAAATAAAAATTCTTATAAAATTCAATAGTAGTCTTTTTAAGAAAACCTGCAGTACTCTACCCCTTATAATACTTTTTAAAAGTATGAGTTTTTATCTGAAAGCTCCAAAACAGAAAGATAAAGAAGAATGTTTTAAAGGGTTTAGGCTTTTATTAAAAAAATTATTATTTATTTATTATCTTAACTACTATTCTTATATTAAAACAAGGGCGTCCTATTCAAAGTCATCATTATAGACCTATGAGGTGAAGACTTTTACTTTTCTAACAATAGTTCCTTCACTTCTTTTTCAAGCTTTTTTCTACACTTTTTTTTTGTAATTTTTAAATAAAAAATTTTAAATCTAAAATAAAACTTATAGGTTTTTTTTTTTACACTCTTTTTCTACAAAACATTTATAAAAACTTTCTGACCACCTTTTTCAGCCCCTTAGTGATTTTAATTTTAAAGTAAAATCAATAATATATATAATATTTAAAGTATAATTAATTCTAAAATTTTAATTAAAGTTTCATACTGAATCATATTCCTTATTCCCTATTTGTTTTAAAAATGTCAGAATTCACTTAAATTTCATTTTAATTAAGAAAGTAAAATTTTTCTTTTTAAAAATATCTGTTTTAAATTTAAAAAAGAATTAATAGAAGTTGTTTGATATTGTTTATGTTAGCAATGCGAATTTAATTAAAACCGAATTTTAACTAAAAAAAAAGAGTTGTTAATTTTTTAAAGTATCGTATTAATTCATCGTAATATTTGTTTTCCGTGGAATAGCGGAGTTTTATTTTTTGCGAATCCTTACTGCTTTCCGGCACGGTGTGCCCGGTCTGAGCACACCTAAAAATTTCCTTCTGTACGCACAGAAAAATTGAAAGCAAAAGGATTTAGAACTATAGGTTACTATGAACCTTCTGTATTTGTACTGGAAGGCAGCTGAACACAAATGAGTCCATATATTTTAACCATGTTTAGTTTTTTAAGAGCTTCATTTTTCAAAGAAATTTTCCAGATTTTTTTAGGGTATAAAAGGAATTGTTTGAAAAGAAATGTCTATGTTATTTTTTTGGCTCTATGCTAATCTCCTTATTCTATATTAGTCTTAAATTTTTACCTTGAAATCTTGCCTAAAATCGAACGGCAAACCCCCGATAATCTAGGACAACTGAGAGTCTGTATTCTTTGTTTCTCCGCATTTCATCGGTCAGTTCATTGACAACAGAAAGGTGGGTCCACATCTGTGTTTCATTTCCTGTTTTTCACTTTTTTTTTTTTTTTTTGAGGGGACGTTTGGTTATCAACTAACAAATTGTTGGGGTGATTTTCTGAAGGTCAATGGTAATTTTATCAGTTAGCTGTTTGTTTTTCCACTAGAGCAGTTCTCTTTTTCTCTTTCCCTTTCGTTCAAAGTTTCACTAGCGCTACGTTTAATAATTTTCAGTTATAGACGTTTATTTAATTTTATTTTATAGTTTATAATTTCTAATTGTAGATAAAATATTAGTTTAATTTTTTCGGACTTTTGATTATTTTCCAAACGGATCGGAGAGAGCTGACCATTTCTGAAGCACTGAAAGTGCTACACGAATTGCTTTCTGATAGTGAATCTGATACGGATCACGGTACATGTGCAAAACATGCAATATTGGGTTGTGGTTTTTTAAAGGTGGTGTCACTTTCTTCGAAAAGTACCGCCATGAAAAAATAGACTAACGTGTAAATATAAAATGTAAGTAATGTAAATATCATATACCCAAGTTACTTTTTTCCCATTCATACGCATGTAATCATCATATAACCAAAAAATGAGCGTTTTAGGGGGGGTGTAGAGTAACAGGTCTTCCCGTGGCACACCTTGGGTAATACTAAATCTGCTACGGTATTCAGAATCTAGTGTTTTATAATCGTAGGCAAAATCTCTTACTCTTTTACGCGCTTCCCAACAATGCTCGTTTCAGCACTCCTTTTGAAGCTATATTCAATCAGTGTGCCTGCTTCGGGCACACCCACAGAATTAAAACGATAAGTGCTATCTTCACAAAATTTTACTTGTGTAATCCTCTAGGCCTAATTAGACTGCTACCATTTCTTTTATTGAATTTCCAACTTTAAAAGGTAGCGTGCTGGAAAGGGTTACCAACTTTCTGAGAGGGAGCGGAGAAGAAACGCTACGGCCCTTCGGGGATCGACCGCGGTTTGCAGATAAGTATTACCGCGTCCCCTTGCTTCTGGCTGCGGGCTCCCAAACGCGTGGAGGACTCCCTTCTTGACAGATGTCGGCGAGGTTTTTTTTTCTACGTAACGTCAAGGTATTTTGACATCAAGGTCTATTTTGACGTATGCAAATCCCGCATGCGGCACAGCAGCAATTACTAACAGGAAATATATCCAAAGTTTCCAAAATATACAAATTTACAAAGCTCCTTAGTTTGTTATAAGCGAGGATATTTGTAATATTCATCTACGAAAAATTTACAAAGCTTCTTAGTTTGTTATGAAGGAGGATATTTATAATCCCGCCAAAATTATTCTCTTGAATCGTTTTATGCTGCGATTTTCGGTAAACTTTTTCATAAGAATTTCTTCGATCGGAAACTCCATTCACCATGCGTTGCCTATTTATCATCCTGAAATTGCTTCCTCAAAGAAAAGATCCAGAACTACTCTGGAAAACACATATAATGCGTTACCATTTCCTAAGGGGCTTTACTTATAGAGACGAGGAGCGCCAAAACTGTCACTCTACTCTTTCGATGCCTCCCCCCTGGCGTCTGAGGGAGTTCGCTGTTCTTTCAGCTTCATTCAGGATCACTCTCTTTGTTCCGTAAACGTGCTTTATTATCTCTTTCAACCGTAAACGGTTGTAATTTAACTTAAGCACTTCTTTGTTCCCTGTTAAAAGTGTTCGCGTGCACTTTCTAATGTTAAATTTTAATCTCTTTAAGAGAATTTATCTTTTGTATTATTGGATCCTAACACTTAAAATTAAAGCTACTTAATTATTTATCAGTCTACTTTCTCCTCAGAGGCAGATCTAGCTCTATCTCTTCAAATCAAGCTCGCCTGACGAGTTCTAGCAACTCTTCCTCCCAAAACCCGAATCGCTTGGGACATGAATGACCTTTCCCGACTGGTTCCTTTCTCGTGTTTGTTACATCACATGACAATTGATCAAGGAAACATAGAATCGTTTCAGAATTCATGACATAACCCTTCAAAATCGATTCTGGCCCTTTTTGATATCAAAATTATTAAATTAAGAACTTCAGTGTTTTTACCTTTTTTCACTCTGGAAGGAATTGCCATTGTTTATTTTTACCATTTGTTTCATTTTTAACAAACCAACTGTACCTCTTTGTGGAACCACCTTTTTTTAGGGGTGATAATAATTAATATTTGACGATGTGGGAATAAAGGAATAGAGCCTATGAGCCTCGTAACTGAGACCTTCTTTGGTTCGGATATATTAGCACTCTATAAATTTAAATTCATAGAAAAGCTTTATTCGTGTCATGAGTTTCGAAGACCAATGTTATGCTGATATGCCAAAGAGCAATGTTTGTTACTGGATATCTAGATAACAATAAATTGAACAAAAATATGCAAAATAGGAAGATTTGAAGCCATCTTAAAATTGAAAATATTGCTCAGTAATGTCAGAAATTAAATATCTGAGACTGAAATGCTAGTGTAAATAGGAATTCTTAAACTGTTCTTTGCCGGTTGTGAAAGATAATTTCAAGGAATATTATGATTTTTTTTTTTTTTTTTTACTTTTATGGATTCTAGCATTTTTAGATAAAAAAAAAAACTTTATTTCGAATCAGGTGGTAAACAATTTATCCCAACCACGTTTGAGAGTCTTTCGTGAGGGACCAATCACTTTCGCTTGTAAAGCAGCCGAATCGTTTGCTGTATTCATCAGAAATGCGGGTGTGAGCAGACACGTTATCATTTATTGAAATCAGTGGTTCGCTAGTTGGAGAAAAACTGAAAATTATCTATATTTCCTGGCAAACCCTCTGTACTTATTATTCAGTGACGTCACCAATAGCTATGTCCTGTTTAGCTTCATCCAGAGGATCGTACTGCTGTGATCTGTAGCAATGTCCGTTTCTCCGGTGTTTACCTAAGATTGTGTGTGTAAAACTATCGTACAAGTTTAGTAGTTGCTCAGAAAAATTTTAATTAATGGTGTAGTATTTTTAAAATATTAAGAACACGATGCCGTTATTTGGGAAAAAAGATGCTCAACGAAAAAAGGAAACTGCTTCTGTCGAAGATAAATATGAATTTAAAGACCTACTTGGGACGTAAGTGAGAAAGTATTAATGAGATTTCTTTCTTGTAATACGATAAATCTGGTACTTCAAATTAGTGCTGTAACTAATAGTTTTTGATTATATATATTATTCATTAAAAATTTTTAAATGAGTTGGATTTTACTTTCCGTATTTATGTTCCGAAAGAACAGTTTTGGGGGCAAAAATTTATATTATTTTAGTAACAAATGAGTTAAAAGATCACTGCAGAATTCTGAGCATGAGCATATAAAATGAAATATATCATTTTTCTTTCAATCATTTTCGGATATATTTAAGAATATTTTAATGCCAATATTTTTTTCTGCTGTGCTCACGTTTGATTTTGGATATTACTTGTTTTCCAGTTATATAAGTGTATGGAATGGAAATAGTGAAAGTTATTTTCTGGAATGAAAGTTATGGGATACATAAATCACACAATTTCCAGTATGTTTTGGCTTTTTATTTTTATAAATCATAACTGATCATTCGTTATGTATAGTAATTTTAAAATTTCTGCAAGAGTGTGATTCTTTGGAATCATTCTAAAGCCTTTGCAATTATTTTGAAAAAGCGTTCGTTTTTTTTTTTTTTTTTTCTTTGTCCTGCCCATTTCAAAATTTTTGCATATTTAAGGAAAGGTATCCATATATTGTTGATAACATAATCACTTAATACCTGGTAATGTGTAAATTCGATCTTTCAGCGTTTTTAACTACAAAAAAGTCAAGTTGCAGTGTGTTTGCTTATTTTTTATTGGATACTTTAGTAAGGGAATTTTCTGCAGTATGCATTTTTATATCAGATTGTTAATATGATTGTCATTTTAATTAAAGTACTGAATGTAATGTATTTAATATTTAGAATCGAAGTACAGAATTGTGTTTACATGCATTTGGTTAGTATTAATGACCATTAAAAAAAATCAAAATTGGAATTTTAAAACTTCCCAAAAAACTGTGTTTTAAGTAGAAAATTCTTTAATTGAAAATGCATAATCTGTTTCCGTAAACTGTGGATATTATATGAAATAGTAATGCTGTTAGTGTTGTGAAAAAACACCTTTTTCATCATTAAATAATGTTTTAAATTACAGTTATTAGATCGCATATGATCACATATTTCATCGCTTAGGTAACATGCAAATTAAAGCTAATGCCGTGCTTCTTAATATCAAATGTATTTTAAAGTAATGTGATAGGATTGCTCGAATAAAACATTTTGTCGTGATGAAATCTTTGAGAATTATAACATTAACAATATTTACTTAATTTATTATTTACTCAGAAATGTAGTAACTTCAGCAGATATGTTATAAATTTGTAATTTATCCCCAGTAATATGAATACGTAAGAGATGACTTTGTGTTCGTCTGATTGATTATATATAAGCATTTTGTTACGTGTCGCAGGCCATATAGAATATTAAATGTTAATTTATGCACTAATATTGTTTGCACAAAGTTTTCTTAATGGGTTAATTAAGAAAATAATGCTTAAGTAGACAAGTTGAGTATTCCATTTAAACACCTGGAAACATTTTATTTTTCGTTCAGTTCTGTAGATAATTTGTATAGTGTTCGGATTGCCTTTGAATAACTGAAACTTAAGTCATCTCTTATGTATTCTAGATAATTTGTATAGTGTTCGGATTGCCTTTGAATAACTGAAACTTAAGTCATTTCTTATGTATTCATATTACAAATTCACAAGATATTTGCTGAAGTTACAACATTTCTGAGTGAATAACAGTTTAAGAATTATAACATTAACAATATTTACTTAAAGATTTCATCACAAGAAAATGTTTTATTTGAGCAATCCTATCACATTATTTTAAAGTACATTTGATATTAAGAAACACAGCATTAGCTGTAATTTGCATGTTTCCTGAGCGATGAAAGTTTATTTACTATCATATGTGATCTAATAACTGTAATTAGAGTTTTGTCATGTTTGAATCAAACAGGAACATATGTTGTGTAAAAGAAATATCGGCTAATGTTTGGAATATGGTAACAGGTAGTTTGGCGACATTTTGGTAAGGCGATAAAAGTTACTAGCTAGGACTTTAGCAGTGTACATGGATAAAGTCAAGAGTGTGCGCAATGCCATTTTTGTGCAATTCTGGGATTTTTTTTAAGGGAAAATAGGTCGACGTGTACATGGATGATACCATGTATGTGCAATTCTTAAAAACGCGGCAAGCAGTGGGCGATTCTGCACCTTCTTCCAATTTCACACCTAATCTTGGTCATGATTAAGCGCTTTTGTTCCATAAAAGTTCTAGCATAAGCGTAATTCGGCTAGCAGATTGTTGAAAAAAAATGTTGAGTTAAAAAAAAAAAAAAAAAAGCGTTTGATCTTTGGATTATGGTAACTTGGCGGTTTTTTGGCGAAAATTTGGCGACCAACTTTGCTACAGCAACCCTGTATTTGTTTTCGCCGCCATTTTGTCTTCACAAAGTAGAGACATGTTTCTTTTCTTTTTATTTACTGAACACTTTTTCCAACAATCTACCAGCCGAATTGCACTTATGCTAGAAATTTTATGTAACAAAACTGCTTAATCATGACAAATATTAACTGCAAAATTGGGAAAAAGTTCACAATCGCAAACTCCTTGCACGTTTTTCAGAATAGCACATACACATAAACCATTTACACGTCGACTTATTTTTACTTAACATCCCAGAATTGCACAAAAATGGCATTGCACACACTCTGAACTTTATCCATCTACACTGCTATTTTCTCATAAATTACAAAAATTTGCACGAAAATGCAAAAAAATTCTGTGAATCTTTAAACTTGGTAAAAAGCACACACATGAAATTACCTGATTGCGAAAAAGGGTTGATCTTTACATTACGGTAACTGGTAGTTTGGCGACATTTTGGAGGCGATAAAGGTTACTACCTGGGACTTTAGTAATAATGTGAGCAGTACTGAGTTCCGATTACGCATTATTTTGTGTGGGGGAAATGAGAGATCATGGGATATGTCATGTGATATTAATGGACGAATTACGGTTCTTTAATCGGAAAAGGGGGAAATCGGGAAAAAATCTGGAAATTTTGTATTTGGCTTTATTCTGTGTTGTGTGAAATAGTGTTTGTGAATTTTTGGATCCCATGGCCGTAAGTAAAGTGAATTCAAAATGGGTATTTTAGTGGTATTGAAAAGGATAGTAAGAAATGTTTTTTAAGGTTGTGTGAGAGAGAAATAAACATGTTTTATTATGTTATTTATTTACCTGGTATCTTGCTTTGAAAGATAAGTATGATTTTTAAAGATTCTGAAAGAGAATGAAGAAAAGTGTATCCGCCACGTAATGAAGATTCTGAAGGAGATTAGGTAAGTTTAGTATTTTTAATTATTTTTATGCATTGTTGGAAATGTAAGGTGGAAAGGAATTTGGTATTATTGGGAAAATTGTTATTAGCAATGATTTAGTTTAAAGTAATTAGGATTGTAAGGTAATTTTTATTAATTGAACGTATGTGCTCATGTATATTTTAAGTGGTGTTTTTTGAATTTAATTATATTTTAATGAAATGATAGTTATTTTGTGAATTTTATACTTGTAGGAATTTGGTGTATGTTTTAAGTTTGAAATAAATGTGCATGGAAATAATTTTAAATATTTGATAATAAATATTTGTATTGCTTCATGTATGAATTCGTTGGTGACGTGTATAATGTAATAGGTGATTTAGAGGTAAAAGTTTTTGGATATTTTATTTATTTTATATGTGGAAATGTTCATATTTGTAAAGGGTAAATACTTTTTCGCGATCATGTAATTTCATATATGTTCTTTTTACCGGGTTTAAAGATTGAGAAAATTGTCATGTATTTTCGTGAAATTTTTTTAATTTATGAGAAAAAAAGCAGTGTACATGGATATAGTGAAGAGTGTGCGCAATGCCATTTTTTGTGCAATTCTGGGATGTTTTTTTAAGTAAAAATAAGTCGACGTGTACATGGTTCAGTGATATTTTAATGAAATGATAGTTATTTTGTGAATTTTTTATGCTTGTAGGAATTTGGTTTACGTTTAAGTTGAAATAAACGTGCATGGAAATAATTTAAATATTTGATACTAATATTTGTAATGCTTCATGTATGAATTCGTTGGTGACGTGTATAATGTAATAGATGATTTAGAGGTAAAAGTTTTTGGATATTTTTATTTATTTTATATGTGGAAATGTATATTTTGTAAAGGGTAAATACTTTTCGCGATCAGGTAATTTCATATATGTTCTTTTTTACCGGGTTTAAAGATTGAGAAAATTGTCATGTATTTTCGTGAAATTTTTCGAATTTATGAGAAAAAAGCAGTGTACATGGATATAGTGAAGAGTGTGCGCAATGCCATTTTTGTGCAATTCTGGGATTTTTTTTAAGTAAAAATAAGTCGGCGTGTACATGGTTTATGTGTATGTGTTTTTTTTTGAAAAACGCGTAAGGTGTATGGTATTGTGCACTTTTTCCGAATTTTGCAGTGAATATTTGTCATGATTAAGCAGTTTTTGTTTGATAAAATTTCTAGCATAAGTGTAATTCGGCTAGTAGATTGTTGGAAGAAGTGTTCAGTAGATAAGAAGAAAAGAAACATGTCTTTACTTAGTGAAGACAAAATGGCGGCGGGGAAAAAAAAAAATAGAGGGTTGCTGTAGGGGAGTTGGTCGCCAAATTTTCGCCAAAAAATCGCCAAGTTACCGTAATGTAAAGATCAACCCGAAAAAGTATATACCCTTTCCAAGGATGAACATTTCCACGTATAAAATAAATAAAATTTCCAAAAACTTTTACCTCTAAATTAGCTATTATATTATAAACGTCACCAATGAATTCATACCGCAAACATTACAAATGGTTACAAATACTTAGTGTCAAATATTTAAATTATTTCCATTCATGTTTACTTCAACTGAAACATATACCAAATTCCTACAAACATAAAATTCACAAAATAACTATCATTTAATTAAAATATCACTA